GGGGGGGGGGGGGGGTGGGGTGGGGGGGGGGGGGGGGGGGGGGGGGGTGGTATTTGAGAAAAATCCCTGATTTTTCACCTTGTCTGTCTGACAAGGAGGATGAAAGTGATGATCCGCTATTTCGTTGAATGCATCGCTTGTTTCACCCGTCTGGATTCTCGTGAAGTGGCATGCCATTGCTGTTCATCAGTGACATGTTGACAGGTGTGATTAGAGCCTCCATGTGCCGGGATGGATTTGGCCACAAGTGGAAGTGTTTTCAACAGATATAGTTGCTGGGTGTCAATGGAAAGATTTCAACCTGAATTCATTCTGCTGCAAAAATTCTGGTCAGATTCTGCACATGAAACGCACTTTAAAGCCCAGACTTTGAACAAAAGACACCACATATTCTTACTCTCAAAAATGAAAAGTTGAATTGATAAACAGAAAAACACATCCTTACTTCAGTACGCTCGGGGTTTGTGCTGCTACAGCCTTACTTTGTCTGGAGACCAATAGCTTATGATGGCTAACGTTAGCAAGCGTAATTCAACCGTTTCGCTGAATAACTCTTCTCTACTTTTAGCATTTGTCATTAACCTGTAAACTGTAAAATTGTCTGAATGTTATCGTTAATACAAGCATGATAGCGCTGCAGTGAAGCAGACAAAGGCCATGTTTTTGTACAGCGAAAACTGTAAGGCACAAGAGGTTAATAACTGAGTACTGAATTGATATATAGTTTTGTGGATTTTTATGTAAAAATGTTTATGGGCATGTATGTGTCAGTATTGCTACAAACCCTTATTATTTGGTGGCTTAAACAGATCAGAGTTTTGGTTTTTTAAACCTTCAAAATCCCATATTGGTCAAGTCTACTATGGAGGTGTTGAATTACAGTTTCTCTTTCAGTTCTTTTACTTTGAACTGTATGGTTTTGACTCAAGTTTGGTTCAGTACATCTCTTGTTGAGTACAAATTGCTCTTCACGAGCACTGCTGCCCGCAGCCCAATTTACAGTACAGGCGAGTGGCGACGAGTGAAGGAAACGAGGTTTGTGTAATCAGTGATCCAAACCACCCTCCACTTTCCCCACACATGGCCTTGGCCCATTTAGATCTGAAAACATCGTTGTAGGCTACATCATTTGTTCACTGAATGGGGTCCATTTGTATCTCCCTGTCCTTATTGTTGCATTGAAAATGCACTCTAGTGGAACTGTGTCCAGTTTAAACTATTGTACATTTTCTGTTCCTTTTCCTTGTACCAGACTCCTAGCACTTTCTCACCCCTCTCTTTTGCATGGCTGTTCCAGCAAACGTCGGGGTAATGTGGCCCGACCTGTGACCAAGCGCAAACGGGCGGAGGAGGTCATGCACCTGGCTGTGGTGGCCTGTGGGAATCGTGTGGACGAGACCCTCGCCATGGTCAAATCAGCCCTCCTGTTCAGCCTCAAGAGGATCACGTTTCACATATTTGCTGAGGACCCTTTGGCTCCGCAGTTTGAAGAGAAGGTAAGAACCCTCCAGTGGCCCCGATGCCACAAATATATACAGTGCAGGGTTTTTACAATAACATCAAATGTGGAAACGCGGAGACTTTTGCTATAAGCGGTACTCTTTTTATTTTCCATCTACACGTCTTTAGTGACTCCGTTAAACACGCCCCACCCCCTTCTCTTTGTAATAGATGATATCAAGATCAGAGCAGTTTTAACTCTGACTCCCTCTGGTACAGACATATAACCCTTTTATCTCAAGGCTGGGGAGTCGTATATCACCAAGACACCCTGCTCTTTTTTTCCTCCAGCACCATGCATCACTTCAAAGTCACCTTTGCAGAGGTGCCTGGCGGGATTTTGATTAGCTCCACTGATATGGTAACTCAGTCTATTAACATCACGTTAATGGACCTTAAACAGCGCCTAAGCCTGCTTGAACAGCTTTTAAATCCGAAACCCTAAACCTGTGTGCTTGCCGTCGTGTGTAGCAGGGAATCATTGCCATGTGTTTAAAAAAACAAATTCCCTTGCGGGAGACAGAGTTGTGCTAGATAATAGGCCACATATGCTGGGTATGCACAGCTAGCAGCTTATGTCTAGGCGCAGCGTAAAGAGACATGGTGTCCACGTGTTGAGGGTTGATGGGTTTGTTCATAATCTCCTCTGATTCCTTGTCCTCGTCGGCACAACCGAGCGCTGCAATGGCCTCGCAGCGCTCCCTCGGTGCGTTTCAGGGCCAAACTGGTGATTATGGAGGGAACTCGACGCCTAACCGCTCGGATAAGTCGAGCTTCGGCGATACACTGCGGAGTTTAGGAGGGTGCCGTCCCTTGTTTAGGCTACAGCTTTCTAATCAAACAACAGCTGGCGGCTGCATGCACTTCGTGCAGAGCCACACAGCTCCACGACACATGGCGTCACCGCGTCAAATGGACATTTTATGTCGATAAGTCTGTTAAAAGAGAGAGATTAGCTTTCAGAATAGTTTTGATAATGGCTGTTTCTCACACGTACTTTTACCTCCTCCACCTTTTTTAAGAAGTCCGTCAGACAGTTCCCTCTGTTTAAAATGTGTCTCCTTACTTCCAGCTGAACCAGTGGCCCCGCTCCGTCTCAGCCAAGTTCCAGCACAGGATCTACCCCATCACCTTCTCCGTGGGGAACGCCGACGAGTGGAAGAAGCTGTTCAAGCCCTGTGCTGCTCAGAGACTCTTCCTCCCTGTAAGCCTGCAGCACTTATCTCCTCTCATATCCTCACCGTGCATAATGTCCTTAACCCATGTTACGAACAAATGTTTAATTCTTTCTTAAACAGCGTTTTCCCACTCTTTTATTTCATCCCAGTGCGTGGTTATAGGTCATTACTGTGATTATTGATGATTTCACACTTTTTCTGCAGCATTCACTTAACAAGCGGTCACCAGAGGCTGAATCCGGCCATTTCATCGAGTGACGGCCATTGATTTTCTTTTTCTGCTGGTGTTCATTGAAACAACTTAACAAGCTCACTTGCCGTGTAATGAAGACATCGCAGTCCAGACAGATCCATAGGTAATTTCTCTGGCTGTAAGGTGATCAGTGAACGGGGAATACCTTTTGAGAACCCTGTAGTCTCTCTGCTTCTGGATTATGGAAAGGCCGGATCGGTCCATCCTGATTCAGTACCGTCGCGTCCTTCCCCAGATGTTTTGGCAGTTAATGCTGCAAAAAATCCAAATCCAATTCTGTTCTTAAAATTGGTCTGTTACACTCCTTTTACACCAAGCTCTCAGGTGGGTTGGGTCAGACTTCAGAATTGGGTCAGACCTGCACATATGTGGTGGATCCCCCAGTGTGCCTCCTGTCTTCCACTATGGGAAGTTCACCAACCGTAACTTCAGGTGTTCTAGCCATTGTCATGGGTTCTTCTTTTGATTCCACCGTTCTCCCCCTGCTATGGGAGAGAACTAACTAAAGCTTCAATGCTTCCCTCTGAGATGTACATAGTAAGTATAAAGTAGCATTAAAGGGAAATACTCCAAGTAAAGTGCCAGTAGGTTGAAATTGCACTTAGAGTAAATGTACTTTTGGTACAATTTGGTGATGGAAAATGAGGCCGTTGGAGCAGCAGGTTACTGCTCTGTTTGGGCTTGTCGGCATCGATTGCTGCTTTGTCACACACACACACACACACACACACACACCAGCACCCGCTCCTCGCTGCTGTCAGCAACACAATTCCAACAGAGGCACCGCAGTCTGTGGTGGAAACACACTGCAGCATGGTGACGTGGTTTAGCTCTAGCCATTAGCTATTAAGTGCTACTGTCTTTACCCTGCACCTCATCATCCCAGTTAGCTGTGTTGTAACTGTTGCATATCCTAAATGATGTGTTGTGACTGGTGCACTCTGTGACATTATGTGATACTTATAAACAGTGAAGAATCACATAATGTGCTCTGTCCTTATACTGGGGAGTCACTTCGGCTCTATGAATATAGTGTAAACTCTCAAAGTTTCTCAGCTCTGAAGCGGGAAATCTTACGTCCGCCAAACTGGCTGAGACTGTGATTTGTCTGCCGTACAGCGACGGCACAATTCATCAGTGGAGACGGGATTGTCTTATCTTTAACTCATCTTATTGTTCTTAGCAGACAGTAGTCAGCATTTTCTTCTCCCACTGCAGCCCACAACTTCGATGTTTGATGAGATGTGAATTCTTCCACAGATCACATCACACAATTATTATTAACTCTGACTTCTGAAATCCGAGGTGGTCAACCCTTTCTGAACTGAGGAAATGTATAATGTTATAATGTTGAACTATATGTAAAGCTGTGGATATACACACATAAAACGAGGCCGTTGAAACAGCTCAAACTCAACTTCATCCAACGAAAAAACCCAGCCCAGTGTTGCCAACCCTTTTCCAACAGACGTAGCCTGCAGCACTTGCTCCAAAAGACCCTAAATCTACCAAGAAAGTCACCAAGTCAGCAGTTTTATTAAAATATTGAAGGGTTTGTTTGCTGTTGAATCCCCCCCACTCAGACATTATGTTGATCTGGTCTGAACTGAACCTCTTGATGCTTTCTGCATACTTATAGTTATGTTTTATTAATATGTAAGTGGCTGTCTGGGAGAGCAAGCTGTTTGTGAGGAGGTGCACCCAACAGTGTAGTATATCACCGTTTGTCATTTTAGATTATTTCACGGTGTATTGCCCATTCTAGCTCTTTTAGATGAACGACCATGGTCGTGAACATCCCAATGATAAATGTACTCGTGTCCTCCCCAGGTCATCCTGAAAGACGTGGACTCGCTGCTCTACGTAGACACCGACGTGCTGTTCCTGCGGCCCATGGACGACATCTGGAGCCTCCTGAAGTCCTTCAACGGCACCCAGCTGGCAGCGATGGCCCCGGAGCACGAGGTCCCGAAGATTGGCTGGTACAGCCGCTTTGCGCGCCACCCTTTCTACGGAGTCACGGGGGTCAACTCCGGCGTCATGCTGATGAACCTCACAAGGATCCGCAGCACAATGTTCAAAGTGAGCTTCCAAACGTAGTCGTATGCGTAAAAATACGAAAGCCAAAGTGAGCTGTGATTTTCCTTTTGCATTCTGAAGGTTGTTTTCTTTGAGCTCCAGTCACAGTGCTCTGAGTGGGCCGCGATTGAAGCTGTCTGATTACCGCGCTCGAAGCACAGACTTCTGCCCTCAGAACTCAATTTAGCAGCTCTTCAGCTCTTAATACTGCCAGCAGATTGCAAATGGCAGCGGGCATGTAAATGTGCTCCTCCTTTGATGATGTGTTTTTTGGAAGAGAAAAAGAAAAGATTCTCTGGAGCTGTTTGCGAGTGAATGTTGTTGTTGGTATTTCAGAACAGCATGATCCCCAGTGGCCTCTCATGGGAGGATATTCTACATCCACTCTATCAGAAGTACAAGAACCACATCACCTGGGGAGACCAGGACCTCCTCAACATTATCTTCCACTACAACCCAGGTAGAGCTCTTCCACAATGATCATAGCGCACAGTATTATCACACTGAAAACACATCGTGTACCACTAGAAAGATGCTTCAAAGAGGTCCATTGAAGGCCCACAAGAGACATTACCACAATACCAAACTGTGCAACTGTCCACATTTTGCGCTCAACACAGCAGTTTCAACATGTTCACATCAATTGTGCCTTATTTCACTGTTGATAAACTGGTCTACATCATGAATCTGGATTAGTAAACAACACAGGCAACGTGTGGCTGCAGGCAACGGGCAGACCTCGGCAGCAGACTGAGTTCCAGCTGCAGCGGCCAGATGCGGGCGTTAAGTGCTCTCAGAGCGACAGTTGAGTTAGCATCGCTGGTGTTAGTGCATTGTTTGAGGAAGGGTTAGATATGTATGTTCTATACCGTAGTTCAAAACTAGCTATCTATATGCATCACAAACCTGCCTTTTAAAAACCTTCATGAGTTACTGTCCTTACAGTGTTTGGTGTAATGCACAGCAACGATGTGTTCTTGTGTGTTTTTGTTGTTGTTTGTGTTGTTTTTTTCTTCCCCAGAGTGTCTCTTCATCTTTCCCTGCCAGTGGAACTACAGGCCAGATCACTGTATGTACGGGAGTAACTGTAAAGGGGCGGAAGAGGAGGGCGTGTCCATTCTCCATGGCAATCGGGGAGTGTATCACGACGACAAGCAGCCAGCGTTCAAAGTAGTCTATGACGCAATACGTGACGTAAGTATCCCTGTAGGATACATTCACGTTTTACTGAGAGAATAATATGGTGTTGATGCATAGTTCTGGGATAGAACCGGAGAAGCATAGTTCCCGAAATGTTGCACTGTTCCTTTTAATGCCTTCAGCTCAGAAAAAGAGCAGCTTTGAGTATTTTCTCTGTGATACAAATTCTCTCTTGCTTGCATTAAACAATCTGGGTCATTTTTTTTTTAAATTTAGAATTTGTTTTCTCCGGCTTCAGTCAGTTCCCCTCCCTGCTCCGCGGAGATAAGCCTCTTAAAGACGAGCTGGGTCGTAATTTATGATTAATACAGAACACCCTCACCCCACCCCTGCTGATGGAATTTGTAAACACCATTTAGCCCGTTGATATGTCCCATTTTTAAAAAAAAAAACTAAAAAAAACCCATCAAACTGAAATAGCATTGGGATCCGAACTGACACAAGACAATGACTCTGTTCCTGCAGTTTCCCTTCGAGGACAACATGTTCCAGTCGCTGTTCTACCCCATCCAGACCAAGTTCCTGGACACGGTCAACACCCTGTGTGGTCGGATCCCTCAGGTCTTCCTCAAGCAGATAGAAAAGACCATGAGGAAGGTGTTCGAGGACAAAGTGGTGCGACGCGTCAGGCCGCACAAATAAACCGATGGAGAAATGGACTCCCTGTTTTTTAATCTGACGACGCAGAGGACCGTCTCGCTGTGGATTATGTGTCACACCGGCGTTTCCTAGTGCGAACTGTGGGCTCTGTGTTTGCTGTGTGTTTCACACATGTACCACTTCCTGGATTTGGTCTCGTGAACATTGGTGTGGGTAATAAGCCTATGTATACAGAGAAGCATACAGTGCTGGTCAGTGATGCCGTAGAATAGGTTTGCCTTATTGTCGTCTTAAAATTTTCACATCCCAGTTTTGAAATGGATGAGAATATTGACAAAACAAAAGCGACATTCTTTTTATCAAGAATTATGAAAGTATGAGCTCTACGTCACAAGTCTGGGCTAAAAGCAAAAAGTTAAGGCAAATTTACGTCACCCGAGAGTTTGACGATAGCATCTCCCGTTTTCATTTTCCCTCGTGAACACGGTGAACAAAGTCACTTTGGAGAGCTCTGCTACTTGAAGTAGTAGATTAATAAACCGCTCTTCTACAATCATGTGAATGTGGTGCCAGCAAATCACTTGAACGTGAGCTTGGGGTGAATGAGAAGAGTTGCAAGTTGACAAATGCCACCGTCAGTATTGAACGCGGCACAACCGAGGAGGTGTGGGATTTCATGTTACAAGCCGAATGTTAAAATGCACTTTCAGAATGATATTGAGACCAGATGGTTTGTTTGTACGCAACATGTCCACGTCCGATGCTACACTGTCCGAGGTAATCAAAACCAAAAGTGCTAGCTTTTAAATGCATAGTTACAAGCTACAGATTATGTGCCGTGCAGATATTCATGTTTACTACAAGAAAATGAGTGTGTGTGTGTTTGAGGGGGTCTCTTGGTTTTTAATATGTTGTATGGTCAGTTGTGAACACATGGGTCACATGTTTCAGCAGCAGTACTTTCAACGTGGTGTAATGATCTAAATGTGTCATTCGAACTTGAAACTGGACTTGGCTGTGCAGTCAACATGTGTTTCGAAATAAATCAATGCAATGTGCCGAGTCTCATTTATATGTAAATATATGCAATTTATGGGAATGGAAATGTACCGAAGGTCTGCAAACAGATCAAAAGGCAAGACACATTGCTGGATCGCAACACAAAAGATTTGTCTCGACACAACAACTTGCGTTTAGATGTAGTTTGGTTTGATACTTGATTTGCTATATTTGTTTTGATACTGGACTTTAACTGAACTTAGCACTGTGTGTGTTTCACCATTTGCTTATAGTAGTGGTATAAGATATTTTAATGTCTGAGGCAAAACGGAACAGGTTGGGATTCCCACGAGTGTTTTAAACCCAGTTTCAGTTCCTGAATCCATGTCGGGCTTATTGGGAACATCAAATTAGCAATAATGAGGCTGTTTCACACACAACGTTGTTCAAAACTGGGTCAGTTTTATGTCATCGTGCCCCGAACAACACACACGGTGAGCAGCATGTGAAAAAAAGATTTTTTTTCTCGGAAAAGCCCAGCGCATTTGTCAATTCACAAGAGAGCTTAAAATTGACATATTGTCGAATAAAGTCTGGCCTACATTTTGCTCTGTAAAAGTAACCTTTGTGTAGAAATGTAAGTAAACTGTATCAACGCTTCCAGACTAATTTATAACTGATATTAACTATAACTGGATACGTATGCACATGCACATATTAATGTTTTGAATAAACTGCTGAGAAATCAGTTTAATCTTTGATCTCTAGACAGCCCAATCCTTCATATTTATTTACTATAATTATATTTTATATCAGTCCAGGTCAGGTGTAATTTGAATTAGTTTGCACAAGATTCTGACAGAAGTCTCTGCAGTCAGACATGTTACAGTATAACTTCTTCTGTACAATTAAACTTCATCAGTGCTCACTGTGTGAAATGATAAGAGAATGTTGTTGACATATGTAAGGCCTTCTGCAACAGTAACACTATGAAAGCAATGCAAACATTTGGCACTTTACTGTTTTTTTTTAACTGCAAACACTTGTATTGTACTTGTATTATGTATTGCATGACATTTACTATCAGTAGTACAAGTATTATTGTATCGTATTGTACTGCTAATTCCACTTTGTGACTTGAGAAAGTCATGATGTGGAGCAGTGATCTGAGGGTTGTCTTTGTTTTTTAACCGTCAGCTGTATCCTCATTCCAGACCCAAACTGGTCCAGCAGCCCTCGGCTCATCGTGCGTCCCAGACCGTCTCCTCACCTGTGACCTCGGCTTGAAGGAAGCAGTCTGCCCTCTGTGAAACACGGTAAGAAGGCCAAGGACTCCACAGAACCTGAACATCACGGCCCTGAGGGAGTTTATTAGCGAAGCGAGAAGATTCAAGTGATTCGCGAATCTTCGCCGAGCTATGTGAACTGTGTTGAATGTGTACGTCTTTAACGCGACAAGAAGAAATTGTGTAGAATAATTCATCAAAAAGGACACAGTTATTCAGTACAGTAGCATTCGCAGTATTGTCGAATAAATAGACCTGAATTTAGGAAAGGAGAAGAGAAGAGAAGAGAATAGAGGAGAGGAGAGTTATTCAAAACCCCTTTATTGGACCATTTCAGGGAGATACCAGATCACTGAAACATCATCACTTGAGCTTAAAATGCAACAAAACCTGCCGTCCAAACACAGAAATGTTTATGTGGCTAAAGGCCTGCACACTGTCTATCATCTGATAATAAATGTATTCCACCCTCAGCAGTCTGGCATACCACACTGCTGGCACTCTGAGCTGAGTTCTTGTGTGTCAGCCAGAGGGCCAACTTGGCAGAACCAGCCAAAAGTTCACTAATGTGTGTACAGTCTTCTTCTCTGCATAATATTTCGGGCCCAAAATAAACAAACCATAAGAAAAAGCCTCCCTGAGACCCTGAAACCATCTTTTTAAAAACTCAACCAGTGCTTCAGGGAAACACCTGGACCACTCCTTCATCGCTGCCGAAGAGCGCAGGTTCACAACCGTAACACAGATTCGGTAAACTGTTTTGTCACTGCAGCTGGAAACTTAAATTTCTTTTAACTGAATTCTTATTGGTTAACAGTTCACTGTTGACATCCCTCCTGCTAACTATGCTCAGGAAAACACAATGTTGAATGTTACAATATCAGCAACAGCATCATGTTGTATGTTTAATTTGTTACAGTCAGAAAGTGAGGAACATTTGATGAAAATAAAACATGTTTTCAAAGTCATTATTAGCACTGTGAAGTTATTAACTCATATCAGTACTCTGTATCGGAAAGTAACCCAGTGTAAGTAATATATATATATATATATATATATATATATATATATATAACTTTAGATGTTTTTATATTTATTTTATTTAGTTGCATCTTATTGTATAGGTTATTCTTCCATAATGATGTCGCTCTTGCCATTGCAGTGCTTTATATATAGATATTATATATGTCTATATATATATTGTAGATGTTTATATTTATTTTATTTTGTTGTTGTATCTTATTGTATAGGTTATTCTTCCATAATGATGTCGCTCGTGCCTCATCTGTTGCTGAACAGGCAGTGACCTCACGGCGCCATGTTAAAATGCTCCCTCCTCTTTGCCTGTGAGGTCTTAGCATAGCTAGCAGCAGCTACACGACCAGTCTGCTTCTTTACATCCACTAGACTGACAAGAGAGCAACGGCGTGATGGAAATTGACTCGCTTCAAGAGGCGCTCAGAGGTCACTTCTGTTTACTTCGACAGATGTCGTGTTTATCGAGACCACACGTTGTACTCGTGCCTCCGAATTTGCTATATTATTAAAAAAAAAAAAAATGCACACGGATTCTAGCTAACAAGCTAATGTCGCTTGCTAGCTGCTAGCTAACGCTAATTGTACAAGCGGTTTTCACGGAAATGGTTAGCTCTCTGTCCAATTCATTAGCCAGGGGAAGAAAGCTAACCAAACTGTGATGCTTCTTTTTATCCGTACTCCCGGACGCATATGTATTTAATAATATAATTTGATTTAATTTAGCTAACGGACGTTATTGTTCTGAGAGGAAATAGCTGGCCGGTGTCACCGGCTAATCGGTAGACTGCTGTTTTACCGGCTAACTTCAAATGCTAGCCACAGTGCGTTAAACTTGAGCTAGTTATAGCTAGCATAGGGACCTAGCTTAGATGGATAGCACCCACTAGCCTGCTAACGTTACGTTATGTAAATAGCTAAATGGACAATGTTATCAGCCAAAGTGTCTCCAGAGACCCGCTAAACAAGCTTCGTTTAGTCTGCTTAATGCAGCCAAAACACCCAAAAGCTGTACAGCCGAGTTATTAAAAACTGGAGGTTAAATCAAAGCCTGTCCTCCCGATCAGGCTAAAGTACACAATGTAATGTCAGTGTGTGTTTGTTTTTCTCTCCTCAGATTTTGATAAGAAACCAAAGTCGGAGTCGTCTCCTCTTCTGGAACAGTTTCTATGTCACATTGCCAAAACTGGAGAGACCATGTAAGTGAACATAGCAGATAAATGACTAACGTTACTACAACACTCATATATTATTGTTTATTATACAACTGTTTGCATAACCATTTGTAAATGTGCAGCAGGTCCAGCAATAAGGTTTATACGGAATTTGAAGAATTTATATTTTCTTAGTTCATCGTGCAATTTTGACGTCAGTGCAACTGTGTGTCGTTGCCTCTTCCTGTGTGACATGCAACCATTGCATGCAACACAGTTTTTCCTGTATACTAATGTGCTGATCCCTATTCTGCTTACCATTTTAGGGTTCAATGGTCTCAATTTAAGGACTACTTCCTGTTTAAATTGGAGACGGTGATGGACGACTTTAGCGCCTCAGCGTCTGAGCAAAGAGGTCCCGCAAATCCCAACGTGGAGTCCATTCCATTTGAAGACATGAAGGAGAGAATCCTGAAGATTGTGAAGGGTTACAATGGGTAGGTGACCAGCTAAAATAGCACATATCTGTCAGGCAGCAATGGTGGCAGGCTGATTGTGTGGATGAAGAAGACAGATATAACTTGTCTGGTTCTGGATATATCTGTTCTACAACATAATTATTATGTTTTTCATCCTGTGTGACTGCTGTAAAATTGCTCGGTATACCGATTTTTGTCGCAATGTGTCAGTGATGGTGCAAAGTAATGATTCATGGGTGACACAAATCTCAGTTTACTCATGCTGTGTAGACTATCTACTGACACATTCGTCCTCTGCAATGGTGGTGATGTAACGCAAGAGAAGACCTGATTGTGAGGTTGCTCGGATCCATTTTGATATGAGACGCAGACCAGAGACACACGGGTGTAGAACGGAGCTTAACCCAGACCCAGTAAGACTAACTATAACTTAGACCCAGCCCAACTCGAGGGGTTTGGTCTCGGTTACGTGGAACCAAGCGGGCTCTTGACAGCTTCTACATCAGATGCTAACCAGTAAAAGGAAGTCTAAAAACGCTAGCCGTGCCGCTTTCATCCAAGGTGCTTGGGCTGTTGCACTCCTGTCGCCCCTGCCGTTACTAACCAACCAAAACCCGGGCGCTACTATGATGACAGTAAACCTCACGGACTAAATTGAACAAAGTCAAAACAAAGATAAAATGGATTTCCAGCACAGTAAATTCCCTTATGGTGGCGTTACTTCTCCTTTTATCCGTTTGTTTGGCTGACATTTCAACACAGATGTTGTGATGTCTTTGGATGGAAAGGGTGAAGCAGGAGAAACAATGCGTGGGACAGATTCTAAAGCTCTTGGTAGCCCGGCACTAAAAATGTTAACTTCTACCGTGGACCGATATTTACCGAAGAGAGAAAAGATTTTAGTTTTTATCTCGGGACGCAGCCATTGCGTTAGGGCCGAGCTATATGGAGAAAATGTTGTATATTTCTAAACCAAATACCTCTTAATGTTGTTCTGGAGATATTGTCGTGTTGACTATTGGCATTGGTGGTTTCATAAAATATTCATCCAATGAGGTTTTTGATAAATATTCGACAGTACTGGAGGATATAATAATTAACGAGCCCCTTAATGATCCCAAAAGTTGTAAATGTTCCGAACAGGTTAGGTGTACATTAATGTCCTCTGTTAAAGTAATGAAACCAAAGTGATAACTACGTCAAATAGGTCTGAATCGACAAGAAATTGCCTGACAAGAAGTTTAATAATCAATTGATTGTTTTGAGGTTTTTTTAATGCCCTGTGAACAAACCTTTTGCAAAATGAGAATTTGCTGCTTTTCATTATTTTATACGACAGTAAACTGAATATCTGAAGAAGACACCGTGGGCTCTGGGAACTTGTGATTGAGATTTTATATGTTTTCGACATTTTATAGACCCAAGTGATGAATCGGGGAAATAATCATCCGAATAATTAATTATGATAGTTTGTAAAAGTTAGATGTGATTGAGTGATATGTTTAATAAGTATAAATGATCCCAAATGCTATTAGTTGACAACTGTCACGTAATCATGCTACAGTAGTGTACTCTATATCTTTCCCCTCTCTTGTGATGTTGATGCACATTAACTCCAAAGCGCCAGCTATTCCTGAGTTTCACCAAATTTACTAAATAGAAGAATAAAACAAAATGTGCAAATTAGTGTAGAAGACCACCTAAATGACACATTTCCCATTCACTGAATATTCACTCTGTTGCTTTTTTGTCTTAATTCTAGAATTCCATTTACGATCCAGCGCTTGTGCGAGCTGCTCACAGAACCCAAGAGGAACTACACAGGAACAGATAAGTTTCTTCGGGGGGTGGAGAAGGTACGTCCTCATCATCGTGGCTGTTTTTTCTTTTTGTTCCTTAAATTTCTAACCTGCGCTCACCTGTTATCACTCATTTATGAATTCTTGTTTCTGTCCAGAACGTAATGGTGGTGAGCTGTGTTCACCCAACCTCAGAGTAAGTGTCTTCTTCAAATGAAACGCTTTCCCTTCAGAATAAAACCAAATAACAACTGGATATCATGTTTTGGTGAATTTTGTTTTTCATAACTTGCTTGTACAGAAAAAATGGATGCAGTGCGATGAACAGAATGAACGGAGTGATGCTTCCTGGGAACACATCTGCTTTTACAGAGAGGTTGTGTTGGGGACAGATGTGGTCCTTGATCCTAAAATACACATAAAGATTTTTGTCATTATTGTTAAAATTTTATTTTTTTCTTCAGTCCTTTTCCTCATGTTTTGATGTTTTTATTAGGAAAGTGAACGGTCCTGGAACTCCCCGGCCACTGACCCGACCGAAGCTGTCTCTGGCCCACTCACTAGCAGCCAACGGGCTCCCCGACAGCACCGACGACAAAGACCTCAACACGGAGCAGGACGACGACGACGACAAAGACTCCAGGTATGTCGGAGGCTATAACGCACCAGGAAGTCTATTCCAAACCTGCTGGAATCACATTTTGTATCTCCTGCGTCTCCTTTTTTTTGTTCGCCAGCGAGGTGTCGGCGTCAGGAGGCTCCCTGGGGAGCTCGGTGAAGAACAAACACCAAGAAGACGAGGAAGAGGACATGGAATCCGAGCAGCAGGAAGTGAAGAGACTTAAGTTCAGCAAGGACGACGAGGACGATGACGACGACGAGGATGAGGAGGAAGATCAGGAGGCGGACACGCTGAGGCCTTTACACGCCACCTGCCTCTCAAAGGAGGCAGAAGCCATGGTCCAGGAGGACGAGGAAGAGGAGAAGGCTGGGTACGGCAAGGAGAATGAAGCCTCCAGCAGTGCTGCCTCCGCCGAGGACCAAGGTACTGTGATTTTATTTTATGTGCCGTGTGTTAATTGGTTTGTTTGTGATGCGTTACTGAGGAAAGTATGGTATGGACTGTTCATGCACCAACACTTTCTTAAAAAAGCCGAGTTCACTCAGGAAGGTAATGGAAAACGTGAGCGATGCTGCAATTGCACTTTATTTGGCTGCACATTACACTCGATAGTCAGTTTGTTAGCTACAGGTGCGTTAATGTTTCTATAATTGTGTCCACCTCATTGTTATCAATGTGGGTAGTCTAAATAACAAAACACACCTCTCTGTTACTGTATATACAGTTCAGCAGCACAACAAACTGTAGCCTCCAAAATGATGCTAAAGTTGTTTCAACACATCTCTAAAACTGAATATTGTTACCTTTCTATTGACTGCTTGATTAGCCTGCACTAGTTTTAGTACCGTATTAAATGCTGAAAATATCAAACCTACAGTGTGACGGGCAATGACAGTTCATTGTTGAGCTGTAAATTATTGATTTTAATTAAATGATTGTTCATGTCCTTTAATGTCAACTCATTGCTGACTGTGGACATGTAGCCTCTTTGTGTTTCTCTTTTTATGATTTGAATAATTATCATTTTACATGAGCATCTTATAGCAACAATAGATTATTCTTCCAAGATGACCCGACCCGTAAACCTAATGTGGGCAATCTTCAGGCTTAAGATGCTGAATGTTAAGAGTGTGATATTCTTTTCTTTAAATATGTCTAAAAATATAAATGTGATCTAGCTTTTCTGCGATAATGAAAGGAAGCTGGTTGCCTGACCAGCTGACACGCAAATCAGTCGTTCATCTATCTCGAACCGTCGGGGAAATATTTGGGTCGTTTCAGTCTAAAACTTGAAACGCACTTTGTGATCGCGTCTTTTTTTTTTTTGCACCACAGAACCAACGAGCAGTACGCAGGCGGAGGCGTGTGCGAGCTCCGGACCGGAGGCCGAGCGGGCCGAGAGGGAGGTGCCGTGCGGCTCCCAGGAGGAGGGCAGTGACATGGATCAGACGGAGCAGCAGGCGCCCGCAGGCGTCCTGGAGAACCCCGAGACCAGCGAGGAAAGCAACAGCGACCCAGTAAGCAGCAGCAGCAGCAGCAGCGGCAGCAGCAGCGGTAGCAGCTGTAGCATAGAGGAGAGTTTAGAAGCGACCAGAGAAGACATAGCTCTCGCTCCCTCCAGCAGTACGCCTGAAGCTCCTACAGAGGGCGCCATGGAAAGTGCCACCTTGAACACTGGGACCACTGAGGAGCCCATGGAGCAGGACTAGACTGAAGCCCCCCCCCCCCCCCCTCCCTCCCTGCAGCCATGTGTGACCATGAACCAGCTTGTCCTTGAATCCAGCTTGACTGTCACTGGGAATGAGGACAACGATACCTCGTACACAGGACGGGCGCCGTCTCGTCCCCTCTTTTTGGACACTCCTCCAAAATGGCTACCTGGCATTGATGTGGGCATACAAATAAATTTTCATTTGAAGTTTTCTTTCTTTTAAACTGGAATATTTTATTGATCTTCTTATCCTGTGTTTTAAAGTTTCCCTTAAAAGGGGGTTGGTTGCAGCAGTTTTGAGTTTCTTGGCTGGATTCTTTCTTCTTTTTTTATGTTGGACGGGGTTGTCCGGATGCCGGGGTGGTCCGGTTCTTTCTCTTCTACCGCTCACACCAACCATTCGGACCTTGTGACCAGATTGTAGTCGCTGTTTTCTACGCCCGGTGTGCTACGCTACCAGGGTCAGAGCAAAGCCACACCAGCCCCCTGATTATTTATGAAATGGTTTAAAGATCTGAGCTACCGATTCCCACCCCCACCACCACTATATTATTACTCCACCAAGTTCCACCAGGCTGTTGAGAACATGCATTGTTTTAAAATTGATTTCTCTCTCCCTACGAGATGAGACTTTTCTTTTCTCCATTGTGTCCTTATAATATTTTAACCATGTTTTTTTTTTTTTTGTTTGTTTTCAATGATACACTACCAATCCCACTAACAATACAATGACATGCTACCTTGTTGAGGCGTCTTCTGTAAAATGATATATTTTGGATGCATAAAACCACCATAATTTATATGATCATTTCAATTCAATTGGTTATTTTGGAGTATGTTTTTATTTCAATTTGTCTTTTTGTTTTGTTCCGTCTGCCAGTTGTAGTTTACAAAACCAGCTGTAAGTACAAAGATGACTTCTGCTTTCTTTGTATTGTGATGTCACCATGTTGTTTCACCGACCGATAATATGGAGCAGTCTCTGGTTCCAGCTCTACACCTGTTTCTGCAGCTGTACTTTTTGATATTTAGAATTTTAAATTTCTGTAAAGTAGATTTTTGTAGATTGTAATACAGTATGTGTTCACTGCCTTTGTGAAACCATATATAATTTCTGTGTATACTCTGAATGCTTTTGCTTTCAGTGCGGTATTCAGAAACGGCAATAAATGTTAACATTTTTATGCGTGGTGGTCTTGCTTACTTTTTAGTTTGTCACCAGAAGCGACGCGTTAGCGACATTAGCTACTCTTGTGTTTCTCCTCACTGCTTACTAATGAAATTGGCTGTTTCATTGCTTTGACACTTGGAACTACCTTTTTATTTCTCCACTTCTATTTTGGAAGCTAACCTTTGACTCGAGCAACACAAACCTCTGCTGTGCCCAAACTCCACACTGCGTACTAATTGTCTGCAGTGTGTACCAGAGTACTACTTAATCGTGGTGTATTAATAGGTAGTGATGCGGTAGGTGTGAACAGATTCCAAAATACAGCTTCAGAGCGTCACTGCCAATTAACAAATCAAAGAATTTAACAAAAAGTGTTTGGCAAGCGTCTCCCGTAGAGGCCCACCATCTGTTAGTGGGGCTCTGGTCATAATCAGAATATACAGAGGGACGAATAAATTAAGTCCTAATATCTGCTTCCACTGCTGTCTTTTGTCTGCTGAAATTTGCCCAGGCCCCCGGAGGAAATAAACTGCATTAATCCACGGAGGGCTTTGAAGACTTCTCTCCAGGGAAACAAATACCAGGTCAGGAGGGATATTAAAAACGGGTCGACACCAAATGACTTTTAATCTGACCGTAGCTTTATGAACGGCAGAGGATATGGACAGGAGGAGGAGGAGGGAGGCTTTTAAAGGGAGACGTCAGAGGCCTGCCAAAAAACAGCTATGACTCGTCGCACTGTACCTTAGTTACTCCTCACTTTTACAATGTCATCGCTGCACTTGCAGATTTTTTGCTTTGGGCCCCAAATGATATCTCCACTGCCTTCTGTGTCTGCAGCCGTGGGGAACAGGACTCCTATCAGCAGGGTGTAACATCTTAGAAAGGTAAATACTCCAGCCTGCCCGTTGTCAGATCAGCAAGCTGCCTCTGGCCTCCCCGAGAAGCAAAAAATAAATAAATTGAAAGTGAAGGAAAACACTCTGCAGGGCATTTTCTTTTCTTTGCATTCCAATCGTTTTTCAGAATTATAAAAAAGAAATGGATGTTCGTGTTTATTTCCCAAGTAAATTGTGTGTCAGTATCTATGCGTGTATAATTTATACAGTGATAGCTGCAGTGAGTGGAGTGAAGACATTGATCAAACTACTAAAGTAACTATGAAATTAAACTCTTCCTCAATTTTGCTTCTGGCCCCTCATGGACCCCTGGGGCCCTCTGGACTACACTAAAAAAAGAAAGAAAAAGCCCACTGGGCTGCCGGATGTAGTTATACTTGAGCTCAAGAGAAGAACTTTTAAATGGATCCGTGGTCAGCGTTAGTGCATATAATCAAACAAATTGTCTGGAGTCATCAGGTTAAGGGGGAGGCGCTTCAGTGTAGGACACACTCGGTGACACTGACGGGATTAACAGGAGAAGTACATGAAAAGTTCACCGATGGAGCTGCAGCAGCACCGTGTCCTCTCAGACCGGGGCTATCTCCGTGCCATCCAATAGAGGGTACTGTTTAGTTTCCGAGCCAGACCAAACATGCTTTGCCTGCCCCTGAAATCAGAATGTGCGCCGACTCCTCCTGCTTCTGAATGCAGGCTGTGACACTTTCAATATGCCTCCTTACACACATTGCCTTCAGTCGCCTCACACAAAGAAGACATCATGGCCTCCTTCAGCTCCGTCCAGCGCTGCCTGCTCGGCAAACCTCTCGCCTGGTGCTCTAGGGAGAACACGCTTGCCTGTGAATGAATATGAGATGGCATAACCGTATTTTTCCTTGTATTGTCCAAATGCCAGTTAGTTTCTGCTGCCGCTTGGTTTAAAACATGTGACACATTTATCACGCCTCCTCAAAAGAACCACAGACATCAGATCGACTCCCACGTGTCTCGCTTCTCACGCTTTTATCAGATGGGATCTAGAATACGCTGCTTGTAAATACCGGCTTCTTTCCTTGTGGTGAATTCCTTGTCACGTCATATATTTCATGAGAAAATAAACAAGGTGACATTTTCTCTGTTGAATGTCAAGGCACAAGATGATCCAGGATCAGGTGTGGGGTGGGGTGGGGGGGGGTTGCAGCTAATGTCAAGTTACATTATTTGGCACACAGCAGGGTCAAACATTCTGAACGAGTCTGACAAAATGGCAAAAACACCAGCAGCAGGTGGGACGCTGTTCAGTTTGACCGACTAGAAAAGTCTGGGGGGGGGGGGGGGGGATAAACATTTATTCCCCCCCACTTCAAGAACACCAAGTCAACCTAAAACTGGAGGCAGCAGGGTGAGGCTCCACCACAGGAGGCCTCCAGACAGACTTCACAAGCTCCGCTGAAGCAAAGTGGGGACAGTGAGAAATACTACCCTAATGTACTGAAATGGTCAATTGAAAAAAAGGGAGAGATTCAGTTATTCTGACGTCCAGGCTCCAGTGGGGGTTTGAGGAGTGGATTTTAATGTGGCTTAGTGTGTCAGCGAGCACCAACCTCAGGTGGCTGCTGTTTGAATTTCCACTTCTCTGTCAGAATGGCATCATCATCACACAGAGAGAGAGAGAGAGAGAAGCTGCGAGTGGAAGACTGCTTTGATTCAGCCGGTCTATTTGTGTCAACGCCCATCAGAGTCCTCTCTGAGATCGGCTTCAAGTCCCGTCAGAAAATGCCAGGATGGAAAGTTCTGAGACATCACACGATGCACAAAGTGTACGCCAGGTTGGTGCGCAGTAAGATCCTGGCTGTGAGCTCGGCTGGGGAAAGGATGGCAGTGTTACAAGAACTGTAAGCGAAAGGGTGAGTGTGAGTGCGACTCCTACAGAAGCGCTTTGCCTTGTGTTTCAAAGACATGCATCTTGGTTTCGCAGACACATGAAAATACTAGACAGTTAATAGAAAACACATCTAGGACAATCTTTCAAGGTATTCCAGCACCCAGTAGCGTCGCCAACTTTTGGTTTAACTCACAGGTGACCTGAGATGTCTCCTTTTTAATAAGCAGTTCCAGAGAGGGTACTGTGGACGTCATGTTGGCTTTACAGGCATCAGTTCTGACACTACTTGGAAGCCAATGTAGAGATCTGAGGAGGTGAAATCAGGTGAAATTAGTCTTGTTAGGACTCTGGCTGCGTTGGCTCACAGCCTGTTGAAGTAGAGCAGTAAGCTCTATAATAATCTAACTAACTAGAGAAGAATGTAGTTTTTCTGCATCTACCATGACAGGAAGTCTCTCACTTGAGATATTTTGTTTGGTATGCAAGCGGTCAGCCTGATGTACTGACACTCATGGTGCCCAGAGGATACATCCTAAAGATTCTGGTGTTTCGCTGACTTTTCCTGCGGGTAATAATTTTCATTTATCCAGAGAAATATCTCCACATCCCATCTATGGATTTCCACAAAAAAATGTTACAGATATTCATAGTCCCCGGATGATGTATCCCAAAGACATTTGTGATCCGCTGACTTTTCATCCAGCGGCACCACGAGGTTGACATTTTCTTATTTTAAGTGAAACTCAAGTGAAAGTCTCGGTACTTCCAGGGGAGAAAGCAGCTAATTGAGAAAATGTTTCCCGTCACAGGAGAGTAGCAAAATAACAAAATTTCTGTTTTTTCATTGTTGAGTTGCAGGAAAGTGTGTTCCATTCAGTTATTTATGTCTTAATCAACTGGGTAAATGATGGTATGTTTGGCAGTGTTTCATACTGCCACATCTCAACCAACCCACCTCCAGCTCTTTGTAAGCATAAATGTGTCTCACAGTATCAAAAAATGCTAAATTTCTCAATGTTTTCTATGTTTCTGATGCTCAAGCAGTGACAACATTGCAATTTTATTCATATTCAAACGTAAATATCCCTCTAAAATAAGGAGCATTACCAGTATTCCTCCGGTTATGGCCTTCTTGCCAGTTTACTACACCCTAATGAAGTACACTAATCGACTTTACTCGACATGTTGGCAGCACAGTGCCGGTCTGTTTCCCCCCCCTGCCACTCTGTCTAATGGCACTGAAGGGTCTTGTTGATAACAGCCCCATGCTTTTAGAGGCCATTTTCACAGATGCGAACTGCTCTTTGCGCCGGGTTGTAAAAAGTGTGAATGTGAGGCTAATAAAGGTGCAATTACAGCAATCGAGTGTGTACGTGTTGATACCGCTGTTGCAGGCCGGTATGTATGCATCCTGCCGCCGAGGAGGCCGGTTGCTTGGATGCTTTACGATGATGATGATAATGGCTCGTTAGGCCAAACCGGAGAGGCACACGGCGGAGTGTCTGTCTGAGCCGCTGCTCTCTGTTCAAGCAAACACTGACATGTAGTGATTCGTCAGGCCTGTGGTTGAAATATGTCTGACGGTAAATAAATAAGAAAGTGACCGGGCGTGACACTCTTTCCACTACATGCGATTATTTATTTGAGCTCCTCAAAAGCAGCTAAATGGAAATGGATTCGACTTTCAGCCGGAAGAACATAACGTTGAAATGTAGCTTGTGAGAACATGGACGTTTGAGAAGAACTGCTGCTGTGGAAGGCCGGGGTTAAAAAACAACAACGTGTGCCATGAGCACAGTCCATCCACAACGCCAAACCGAGCCTTTGTCACATTTAGAGCAGCTTGTTGTATTCTAAAATCGATAGGCAGGAAATAAGACTTGCTCACACGGAGCCGGTCACACAGCTGAGGGTTCTAGAGACCAGCGTTTTATGTGCACAGCACTTGAATTACTAGCGAGACGTCATGGCACATGCATTATAAATGAACGGGCCAGGTGGATAGTAAATATTAATAGGCTGACATCTAATTTGTAAGAATCAAGTTTTGCTAAATATGTGAACTTCAGCCTTACCTCATGCTCTCTGGGGATATTAATAATTGCTAATGGTCAATAAAAGCCCAACCAAACTACACACATACACAAGAACCCATACACATGCACATTTATTGTCACTACAAATACACCCATACTCACTTATACGGACACGTTTCTGTCCTGCTTGTATACTGTACCAATAATGTCCTTT